TAGCACATGGCTTTCAAACCATCAGGCACCTCTGGAAGTAATTTGTCAACACCCTCATGTCCTCCCAGGGGAGAGCTATTAATCTGTGTGTCATTAGCATCTAGATGACATCGAAGTCCATGACAATTGTGTTACTCCTACCGCTGGGGTCTACCAGTGGGACTTGGTACCTGCCAAAGAACGTAAATAAGGGGAACAAACATTCTTGTAGGAATCCCACAATATTTTAAAAGTTTCTGTTCTTTCCCTTCCCCCGTTTAATTTAAGGATCTCTTTCTGCAAACCCACTTTTCATGATTCTTTCTCTCTTGTGCAAACAGAAGTGTGGAAATACTTCATATTTGCGGATGCGGGACTCCTTCAAACCCGCAGGGAAAGTTATTGTCTAGTGGAAGTAATATTTGATATTTACAATATTATAAACACAAAGTAGCAGTAGAGTTTATGGGCATCAAGCTGAATATTAATTTACTCATCCTATAAAGCACCTGTGCTTGTCTGCTCTAGGTACCTTCTGCCTTGTGAGGCATTGCAATATGCTCCTTAGTGTGTGCAGGTAGGGCTTCATGCTCAATAATGCAGGACCATAGAGGGGCCCAGTGGGGAGAACAGCACCGAAATGTTTTAATTCCTGATAAGCGGATATGGTCCCACCATAAATGATGGGACCAGCAAACTAGATTTGAGAACATGGAAAAGGACATTAGGTGTTTTCTCGATACAGTTGTATCATGTACAGACGTGCAAGCTCTGACTTGAAATTCCTCAACTTGACCTACCAGAGAACTTTAAAGAATGGATGTGAATGCGGGCTGTGCCTTTTGTGAAATGTCCTGTAAACATTTGTTCCAGTACATTTGATTCTCAATTTACGATGAAGAAGGATTCATTCGTCTGAAGAGGGATTGCTTAATGGGCTCTATACAGCCAGAACTTTTATTAATATAATGGTGTCAGATTTCATTTGAAGGGCATTCAGAGCTGCTAGACAGTTGAAGAAGTGGCATTTTAAATGAAATTATATTTCTGTTCTTATGGCTAGTGTTAAATTTTGCAGTGAATTTTCAGTCATTTATAACTCCCGTGAAATGGCTAAATGTAGGCCTGATAGAACAGAGCAGCTTCTTTAATTTGTTTGGCCTTTAATGTTTACAAAATACATGTGTCAGTGTTTTGTATAAGTGCTAGTGGGACCCTAGGTGTTTTCCCCTCCCGTGAAAAAGAATCCACGGCAGAAACAAGATAATTAGTCTTGTTACAGCTTGACATGTGTGCTGAATCAGATGTATGTATGTTGTGCTTTTATTTGCTCTATAAATTAAAATAATGTCAAATATACATAATAAGCATGCATATAAAAATGCGTGTATGTGATTATACATATATATATATAACATTCCAAGCTTGTCTTGGGGCGAGCCCAAGGAAAATCACAACGTCTGACTGTTAGGAAGGCTCCTTCCCCCAGCTGTGTGGCTCTAAGGTTTTACATGCCCAGAGGACATTTCTGATGATCCCTTCAGTGACTGCAACCAGCGTGGCTCTTTCCCAGTCTGGTTTCTCACTTGGGGACTTACAGCGGGGCTCCCAACAAAATACAGGGCTGCATCTTTGAAAATGAATCGCTGAGTTCCTGCAGAAAGTCCGGAAGATGAGTTGAGGCTGTATGAAGAAGTAATGCTTAGAAGTGTTGCAGATAGATGCCAGCCCTGTGAGTCTTTTCATGACAGCTTTCCCAGGGACCCTGAGCTTCGGTTTCATTCTCCGTGTCATCCTTGAGAATACAGAGTTCCTGTGAAGTCTGTTGAAATAGCGTAACAATAGGAGTGTCTCGAGTAGCTGCTTCTCTTCCTCTTCTTCCCCCTTTCTGGCCCTACTCCTGCCCATGTTTCTGTGCTGCTAATTCACAAGGTTCTTTTCCTCCATCCAGATCAGGGGCAGGGAGGAAAAAGCCACTAGACTTACTATATAAGGGACTAATGTTACCTGTAGCATCTTCAGCCTTCCTTGATCTCGTCTCAGATGGCATGAAATTAAATAGTTACTATTAAAGATTAACAAGGGTTCACAGATGGTTATCAAGTGTTTGTAACTGTGTTAGAGAGAAAATCTTCAGTATCATTTCTGATATTTTTGTGGTACTGTGATGAAGTATTTACTTTCCATCACTAGTAGAATATTCCGTTAAACAAGTCTGGCAAATGCTCAAAGAATTGACTGTTTTAAACATGCAATTGTACACGCAGAGCTTTCCTTATTTCCAGTGAAAGTCCAGAACATCTTCAATATGAAGAATAATAGGACTGTGTTTCAGGATCTCAGTGGGAAGGGTTTGGGAAGAGGCATAATAAGATTAAACAAATAGTGTAAGTAAATAGATTGGAGTCTAGTAAAAAGGACTGGGTACGGTGACATCCATGTTTGTCCACTGTGAGGGTAGAGACCCAGAATATGGGCCTGATTCCTGAGGTTATTTTAAAATAGAACATATTCTTCTCTGCACTCAGCCTTACCACCACAGGCACCACTGGGATCTGAATGCTCTTCCTGGGAGTAACTGAAACAATGTTCACTGTAACCAGGCTAAGCATAGAGTTTGTGTAATACATGTGTACATTTATTTTATAACCTTAATTACCAATCTCTGCCCTCTCCTGTTCTGTAGGTTCTGTGTGGTAACTTTTCTAGAAGTAATGCCTGCCTTACATTGAACCTAAATGGCCTGTCAGGGACTTTGTGTGAATGAAGGTCTGTAGTTTTGAAGAGACCGTAGTCAAATCTTGCTACTTACCTCGTGGCAGGAGGAGTTGTGTCCTTGGGCAGCCCTGTGTTACTGGCAACATTTTAGACATTCAGAAAATTTGCTTCTCAAAAGGAAACCAGATTTCTGATGAGAAATCCAGGAGGAATTGCTATAAGCCTGAGGAGTTGTATAGTAAATTAATTTGTAATCCAAAGTGCTGATAAAGATGTAAATTCAATCTCATTGTTTGCAAGTCTTTAAACTGAGAAAGCGTGCATTTTGATAAGCTGTTTGTTTTATCTGTGGTGTAGAAAGGTGGGTCTTGATTGTGTAACCCTTCCTTTCATTCCATCGTCTGATGGCATTAGACTAAATGCTGTCCAGTGCTGCATGATGGCATTAGACTAAAGCTGCTGTGGGATGATTTGTTCAGAATCTTTTTGTACAACTGCAGTATTGCCAGACCCAAACATCTAGAAATCCCGAGGAAAAGCCTTATTGTGCCTTTTTCAAAATCATGACGTTAATTTAAACAAATACGGATTTTTTTTTTTTCAGTTTATCTCTTGTTTTTGAGTTGCGCAATTTGGTTTTCTCTGCAACCACCAGGTTTCCACTTTCAGTTAAAATAAGTGGCACACTTCTCATGTGGTGGAGCTGGGGTCGTGAGAAGCAGGCCAAATCTTCTCACTCTTGAGATGCAAAGGAGAAATGAAAGAGCCACCACTTTCAGCAACAAATTTTCATGTTTACAAAAATCAAATTCTTTTGAACACATATGTTGCAAAGGTGCGAGTCTCCCATCTGAGCTGGCATTGCACCTCTATGTTCTAAATCATGGTATTTTCATGCGATTTTTTTTCAGATTTATACCACTTTCACCATGTAGGCGTATTTTTTCTTGCCTCTTTAGGGACGGCCTTCTTACAATTGGTGATGTTTACAGTGGGAACGGCACATGGAACTATTTAGCAGCATTACCCTGAGGCATTATGACTTTAGGTTTTGAGGCACATATTCTCTGGGTTGTGTTTTTTATTAGAGCAAAAATGTGATCACAAAGCCAGGTATAAAATTATATGGGATATAATTTTGTAACTCAGCCATGCTATTACTGTGAGTGTCAATTACTTCATTCTTAACCCTCATGTAGAGTACAAAGGAGAGTTAAATGCTCTGGCCCAGCCACTTCACGTCGTTGTGGCACACAGCATGTAGGGGTTTCGGAACTTCAGATCTTGATCTGAAACAAAGGAGTTTTCTTAAATGCCTTTCACCATGCTTGTTTTAGTCAAACGGTACATATATCAGCACAGTTAACATTCAGCGAAACCAGCCCTGCTGTATGCAGTGTTGATTATCAAAATGGTTACCCTAAGTAAATAAATGGTGATCTATTAATAAATAAAAGCCTGCCTGAATCTCATATTTAACGATACCAGAATGGGTAATACCAGACCTTCAACAGGCCTTTGGTACTTCAGGTCTGTGCCATAATCCCCACAAAGGCACATTTATACGGCCTGCAAGTGCAATACGTATTGGCTCTCCTTGGCTGTAACAGCAGAACTGTCGTAAGGATAGGCTGAGAAACTTTTATGAATACTTTTTAAATTTTGATTTTGAGCTTCTGATCTCTGTGCAGGCTTGAAATATACTTCATTGGGTATTTGAAAGAAGGCTCCTTATCTGAAGAAAAGTTTACCTTGATAAAATGAGACTGATTTGAGTGCATCCCTGCAGAGTTGGGGCGGTTGAAGGTGCTCACCCTTCAGACAGGATCAGTAAGAACTATGAGAGCTGATGGCTCAGGCCTTGGGACGTGAATTCAGGCTAAGATATGGAAACTGCTATCTCTGTCTCAGGCAAAGCATGCAGTGACAACTAAGGAATCAAATGCCTGTATTTATTCTTATAAGGCTAATGTTGTTTGCCTGGGCAATATAAGCAATTTTTTGAAATGGACTGAAACTTACTCCTCCATATTTTTTTTTGTGTTTTAAGACTTTGTACAGCGATTATACAAAATTATCTGTTGATTGGTTAGGAGGTGCAGATTTCTCTCCACCAGATATATGCTCTTGTCCTGCTTGTATAATGAGGAAGTAAGAGAAACTTAGAAGTCTGTAAGATTTCTGGATTTATAAAAGCATTTATATTGTCATAGGAGCCACATAACTGAGCACCGTAACAGACTGTATGTACGATTACCCAGACATTGTCACTGAGTATCAAACCTCTCTGTCCTCCTTTCCAGAATGATGAAGTCCTCTGTACATACAGAAGAAGATGACTTTGTGCCAGAGCTTCAGAAGAGCATCCATCCCAGAGAGAGGCCAGATTGGGAGGAGACTCTCAGCGCTATGGTAAAAGACCTTATTGCGTTTTCTATATGCATTATTTTTGGTTCTGAACAATCTACTCTTATATTCTAGTTATGCATTGATTTGTATTCCCTGAGTTTCAGATTTTTAAATGGATTGCGTATTACCTTCAGCAAGACCAAAATACTTTCCTTCCTCTGGCAGTATGTCAAGGAGAGAGAGAAGGAGCATGCATAACGCTTCTGCCCTATTAATATGTGCCCCAAAGCAGGTCTAGTAACCAATTAAAAGGTCTATAATGTCACAACGATTTTCAGTCTGCATTAACCTCTTTTTCAGCAAGACTTTTGAGCATGAAGGGAACTTCTTGTAAAAACATGCTCTTTGAAGCATGCAGCATTGTGGAAGAATAAGATTTTAGCAAAATGCTGGCTAAGTCTACAGGAATAAAACCTCAGCCTGAAAGCTAACCTACCATCAGAGGGAACAGAATTGCAGAAAAGCAACCGCAGAGGTGCTGTACTCATGCTTACAGAAGGCACTACAAGTGGGCAGTGGGCCACAGACAACTGTATTACCTTGATATATTTGTTTTCTTTTCAAATGAGTGAGTAAAGTACCTGCAGTTCTACTTTCCCAACTCCCTCTAGCATTTGCTGAGTTTGGAAGGTCAGATGTTATTTTATTAGCAGTCAAATAGGGCAATCTGATTAGGTTGTTTTGTGAAGTTATCTTACCTCACAGAAGCTTGACCTGCCTTGTTTCAGTATAGGAGTGTCTGGAAGTTGTATCTTGCTTGTTATTTTGAGATTTTCTAAATTGCCTCATTAGCATATGAAGTGGAAGAGGACATTGCCTTCTGCGACAGATCTTGGGTAGCAGGAAGGTCTGAATATTCCAGGACAGCAGTGGTGCTCTTGAGGGGCGGGCGGTCCAGCAGCATGGCTAAGATTACTTTCTGTGATGTGGCACCAGTGACAATTTTTCCCTCTCGTTGGATCATGTGGCAGTGACAGGGCTTCAGCCTGGAAAAGCCATATGTTCTCTGCTCCTGGACTGCCAGCAGCACAGCAGCAGCATGAGAGATGGGCTAGATTGAGCTGTAGTGCAGGACAGTCAGATTCATCTGATGTATGGGGCTGAGGGGTGTTCATTCCAGTGGATTATTTGAAGTGTAAAGCACCATTAATAATAATAATCTATTTCACCATGTGAAATAGATTTTGGATTAGCTGTTCTTTATACAACGTTCAAAAAATGTGTAGGTAATAAACTCCCTATGAGCCAGGTATTTATTTTGATTTTAAACAGGGGAACAAAGATAAGTACTATGTTTTACTCTTTTAAAATCATCATCAAACCCTATATAATACAATGATAATATTTTGTTCCAAACTTTATTTTCAAGCCAAAAAGACCAACCCGAAACATAGGCTTCACCAGCATTTTTGTCTGCTGGTATTTTCTGTGCTTGTCGCTCTGCTTGACTCCTTGCTTATCCACTGTTAATTTTGACTTTTTGCAATTGTCACTTCCTAAGTATGTTTTTTCTCATATGCGGGTATTTTTTCCTTCTCTCCACCTTGGCCAGCAGTTCACGCTGGTGCCGCCTGTTTGAGAGCAGTGTCTGTTCTAATCAGTGTTACTCAGCCAGCAGTGCATGGTCCCAGCCTCAGCGCATGGTGCTTCTTAACACCCTAGAGCCAGGAGTCTTGTGTAAATCACTGTTTGACACCGTGCTGTCTGTAACCTCAAGGTGTGTCTCAGGAATGTGAGTCTGTAATTCAGTGCCTCCACCTGTAACAGAAGTTAGCTGGCATACCTCATTTATTACTGTTTTTTTCCGCTGTTGATTTGCAATGAAGGCAAGGTTCACCTCTTCTGGCTTGGTACTTTCCCTGTTCTCATCAAGGCTGTTGTGCTCATGGACATTGTTCAGTGTTCAGCTCCATACTGCAACCTACACGTATGCATGATATTCCTCTCACTGTGCTAACCATCGATTCACTTTTTAGAACGTGTCCTCTTGCACAGCTCTATGCCACCAATATAAAAACTGAACAGTCCAGGTGGCTATAAAAAAAGAGATTTAGAGGATGATTAACAAATTTCCCATCTAAGATTTGCTGCACAGTGATTTGGTATGATGAAGCTCAGGGCTGCATGTAAAGCTACTGAACCTGTATTTATAATGGCTTGGATTTGTGCTTAGAGCTTTCTTTTGACCTCATGGTCCTCTGAATACATTGTAGATGGGTAGAAAAACCTCACTTGCTCATATTTACCGTGTTGAGTGAATCAAACTTCCACTTTTAACCTCTGCCCTATGTCCAGTCAGAAGGTAATATTTACAAGATGTAAATATTTACAGGACAGTGTTTAACACTGTCACTTTCTATTCTCTGTTTAACCAGTGCATCTACTGTATTCTGTCTTTTTCCTGATCATTTTAAGCCTGCAATTTTTTTCCTTGCTCTTTTCCTTCATTTTGCATTTTTAGCAGCCTCTGGTTTAGCCTTTTCCCAGAGCATGCTCCTTACATGGTACGCGAGTTTCTCGTAGTGGCATAATACATTTAATTTTTGGTTAGTAGTTAAGTTGCAGACTTCAGGTTTTGATGTTGCTTGCTATTTCAGCCTCTGGGGAATGGAGGCTGCAGGGGCTTGGGGAAGTTGGACATAGCTGTGTTGTTTTCTACTCTCCATTGCTTGCTGTGGCAGACAGCTGGAGACCCAACCGGGTGCAAGGCTTTGTCACTTTAAATGAATTTCACGTTCTGCCAGGTGAGCAAATGCTGAGGCTAGCAGCACTATGGAGAGCTTGGGAAATTCTGACACAGTTGACAGACTGGTGATGCTTATTCAGTTGTCTCTTGAACTTTGCCTTTGTACACGTTTTTGTACTTTGGGAAAAGGCAATTTATGTATTCACAGTTAGATGAACATACACAATTCGTCCCTACTCTCCCTCCCCCCATTTATCTGCAATGTATTTTGAAGTGCTTATTATTAATTTATATAAGTGCTTTGTTTCCAGAGCTTTTTCTTAACAAGAAATAAACTAAAGGTCTTTCTAAATATATGGAGGTTGAATGTCCTCCGACACTGTAAATATAAGGTAGGGCAGAAGCTCTGTTTTTAATACTTCTGTCATTGCCAGTTTATTCTGGGCACCCGAGTAGCTTTAGTCCTTTGTTTGATACTACTTTCATTGTCTTTTTTACGTTTATTACTTGTGCTTTCACCTACTTTTAAAAACTGCTTGTTTCTTGTTTGCGGTTTCACAGAAAGGCAAGTGTTGGAGACCTGCTTTGTTTGGGTACTTCTAGTTGTTCTTGAAGCTTCATAGTAGTTATGAAATTCTGTGCTGTAGATTTTGAGAACCAGGCTGAATGAAATGCAACACTAAGTGGACAGACTCTACTGGACTTAGATAATAAGACAGGTGCCTGAGTAGTCCTCAAGGACTGCTGTATTTTGTACCCCCC